ACAGCTAAGACCTCTGGACTCTCTAGACTCCTACCCGACAGGTCTACAGTTCGAATCCCCTATACCCTGTAACCTACGACGACCTACCTACCACTGGCAGTCCTACAGGTCGCAGGTTCAACTCTACGGGTTGACACAGGTACTGTACACCGGTAAGGTGGGGACTAGGGATCGAGCCCTGGGATCTGCACCAGCTACTGCGAACTGGTGAATACCATTTCACAGGGTTCTCACCTCAGTTCCGAGGGCTTTTTCAGAAAGGCCACCTATCAGACCAGAATACTATCAACATGTTAGAAAGAGAGGGACTTGACCAAAATTTGCTTCAGCTTACAAGGACATTTCTGCAAAAGAGACGAAAAGTTGATAAACAAATGAATGGAGACACTATACTATGTTTTATACACGCCATCTCTTTTGGCAGGGTCAAGGGAGGAGGGGGCTTCACCTGTGACGGGGACGAAGTCAGTCACGACCATTAGAAAGATCAGAGGCCTCACTATCTGATGGTGGTGCGCACGAGGGCACTCAGATCCGGAAGTTCGCTGCAAGCCCGCCTGCGTTACTTGAGAGGTCCAGGAATCGGACGGACCCTTCGTACCCCAGCACCAACCGGTACCAGGAACACGAGTTTCCGAGCTTGCAGCCCCTGCAGTTAAATTGAGGTTCCCACGCGACATGCGCAGTGGACCAGGGAAGAACCTTTTTTTTTTCCTTTTTCTTTTAAGGGACAACCTGGTGCTGATAGGAGCAGACACCGCCAGTACTCTAGGGGAGGCTCCATCTATTGGTGGGGAGCAGCACTGCTGGAAAATGGGTCCAGCGTCCCTAAACATCGTGTTTTTTAAGAAAAACTCATACTGCCTGCCAGCATTGATTACCCTGTCTGACCAGGGGATTGACTGTACAGGAGCACCTTCTTATGACAAATGGACCGCTTCAGATATTAGAGTCTCACATGGTTACAAACAGAAAATGGAGGGAGACACATTCCCCAGCTTGTTCAGGGACCAGGGAAGCACCGTGAGGTCCGAATAAGGCAAGATCAGTTGGGGTGATTCAAATCGATCAATCAATACAAATCCCTCCCCACCTATGTGGCAAGCCTCGACTGGTTAAAAAAGTAGAATTTGTCCTCGTCTACGATCAGAAAGGTGGGAGGGCTGCTATGGCAGATCGATGTAAGGGTCGAGCACGGACAGGTTCCTGTGCTTACACTCAGCCGAGCGAACAGCAACTCCTTACAATCCCCACCTAGTCTCAACCCAAACCCAACACCCAATTAGAGTACCACAACTCGGCACTCGGTAGCGACCGAAACAAAATTACCACTTTGCACTAATCATTGGAGAAAGAAGCCCGGTATAGTAGAGAGTGAAGAGAGAGTTGTTGCATCCAATGACAATGGTTTGTGACNAAAATTACCACTTTGCACTAATCATTGGAGAAAGAAGCCCGGTATAGTAGAGAGTGAAGAGAGAGTTGTTGCATCCAATGACAATGGTTTGTGACCTATAGTCTTATGAGAGATGGTTAACACCAGATGTTATTTACAGGTCACTTTCASCCGCTTCAGGTCCCCACCTGAAACTCGTGAATTGACCTGGAGTGGCTGAAAATCTGAAAGTGGTTTCAGGTGTCCCCGTCCAACCATTTATTTAGATGGGGGTAGCGGAAACYGCTTTCAAAAGCTTCAGCCACTTCAGGTCATTAATGCGGTTTCAGGTCCCCACCTGAAATTCTTGAAATGACCTGAAGTGGTCGAAGCTTCTGAAAGGGGTTTCAGGTACCCCCATCCAACCATTAGGATGGGGGTANCAGGTCCCCACCTGAAATTCTTGAAATGACCTGAAGTGGTCGAAGCTTCTGAAAGGGGTTTCAGGTACCCCCATCCAACCATTAGGATGGGGGTACCTTCGAAAACCCTTTTCAGAAGCTTCGGCCACTTCACGTCATTATGGCGGTTTCAGGTTCCCACCTGAAATTCCTAAAATAACCTGAAGTGGTTGAAGCTTGTGAAAGCGGTTTCAGGTCCCCCCATCCAAATGGTTGGATGGGGATACCTGAAACCCCTTTCAGAAGCTTCAACCACTTCAGGTCATTTCATGTGACAAACAACAACGTTACACCAAAACAAATACAGGCAAAAAAAGAAAACAAAAAAAAACATAAAACTTGTCCTCCAAACCACCCAGAACTTTTGAAATGACTTGAAGTGTCTTCAAGCCATTTCAGTCGTTTCAGACCACTTCAGAATCTTTCATTCTGAAATTGCAGGTGGTCGTTAACCATTAGTGGCGGTGTTCCCTGCTTTCCCTCGTTGCTGGAAGAGCCGAGAAGGCTCACAAGTATTTTTTATTCTCACGAGTAAGGCGGATGTAACCAACTGCCGCATGGCAACTGTCTGGTGCCCACCAAAGCTTTGCAAAATTGACGAACACAGGCCTCAT